TGAAAAAATGAGATGGGCAAAGAATAAACTATGAAATTCGTGATCAACATAATAAACCGGGTAGAAAAACACTCACATATTTTACACAAGTAATGTTTATCCCTAACTCGTCTACTGAAAGTGACATCATTGTGACCAAGATGTTCTTAAAACTACGATGAGATAAATAGTGAAAAAAGTGGATAGTAAAACTTAAACTAACTTAGAATAGTAAAAATCACTTTTCTTCTTGAAATAAGTTGCAGTGACGTGCACTTTTTATTCATTCTGTGATCTTTTGTGATTGTAACATCATCTGTCTAAGAAAGGGTTATTATCAATATATTGAATGATCGTAGTCGATTGCATAAATACACTAAGAGTTTACTAAAAAGTACTTTTCGTACTCTGGTATGATAAAGAAACACTTAAATAAACAGCCAATTTATTTCATATAATCTCCTGTCAGCAGAGGAGTAAAAATATCGCATTCATTGGCTCGTTTCACTTTCAATCAATGTCTGATTAACTTGTACATCCGTTTAACATTATGTCAAGTTAATATTCATACTGCCGTCAAACACTTATACATTCAAATTTGATGAAAATTATTTCTATTATGTTTCAAATATATTGATCATCTATTAAATGAAATTTGACAGGTTGTTGTCAAACAAATAAGATTGAATGAATTATAAGTGTGGATCATATGCCAAGCGAATATTCGTACTAGTAGCTAGACACGTAAATTCTATACAGTCATTTTTAACAAGTGTGAAACATCTCAGACGTATTCGTATTCATACAATTCAATCTGAAATCTGTGAGTATGAGAGCGCGAGTGCATGCTCATAGGTTTGTGTGAGTGGATTTCTAGAAGTTTTCGAGAGGAGAGCACCATAAATAACAAAGCTGCGATTACCAGATGCGAGCACGCAACATTAAAGCGCAGCGACGTTTGGTCGCAATGCCAGCAGGTACGTCGACTGGAAAACAGCTCTGATGTTAGGAATCAAATGTTTTTGCTGAAAAGTACTTCCTGCAGCATGGCTTAAACGGATTGAAATAGTGTAGACATTCACTCATAAACATCCATTCAGTCATCCT